AGAGAGAGAGAGAGAGAGAGAGAGAGAGAGAGAGAGAGAGAGAGAGAGAGAGAGAGAGAGAGAGAGTACGATTTTATTATATGTTTTTATTGTATGTTATTTAATTTTATTAAACAGAAGGAGCATTTAAGAAAAAGTTGAAAGAGATATGTAGATGGGCTAAATTGGACATGGATCATTTTGTACAATACAGAAATCATTGGTTTAGCTATAAATCGAGCGACCTGTAAGAGTATAGTCATAACAATATTGTAAATGTAGATCAAATGATTTGTAATTTATAATTTTTCGCCATTGAAAATATTGTTAAAACTCATTCATAGTATTTGATAGCATTTGATATAAAAATTACAGAAATGAATGTTTTTCAATACGTTGAAATAAATTCTTCAATTCTGGAGTTTAATATCATAAAACTGTGTTTTAACATTATTTTAAATTATTAAGAATAGTCTTTTAGATTCAAAGTCATATAATGTAAAAATCTAAAGTATAGTTTTTTTATAAGTAAAGTTCATTATATAATAAACAAAATACACTCCAAATCATAATTATTTAACCGCGGGATCCCATATAAACCGTACAAAAGTATTTACCCAAAAGTTAAATTCATAGCAAATTAACAAAATTAAGGGAAAATTCTTTAGTATTTGCAAGTATATGATTGCTACGATTAATTTAAATTACTTTGTAATAAAGTTTGATTGTATTTTAGACCGATTATTAAGATAATTTTCACATTATTTAGTATTAGGTCTATGGGAGATGTTGATCATTGTTTGGTCTCAAAAAACTTAACTCCTGGAAAACTCAGTATTATTATACCGTCATTTTATTGTACACACCGAATGTATTAATTTCATATGCTATACATCTAATTTGACTTAAAGACATGGCAGCAATTAAGGAACAAAAATTGCCAAAAATGCCCAATTTTCAAACATGAAAAAATATTAAAGCTTACAGCTAGACAGTATAGCAAAATTTTGAACCCTATTTAAAAATAAGCTTCGAAAATGTATTATTTGTTTCCGTACCTCTTATGGATATCCTGTAAAATCAATTTACATTTTTTGACCACTTTTGATTTTATGTAATTGTGGCCAAGTTTTAAGATAAAATGAGTCGTGTAGCATATCAAATTTATTCTTTTGTAATTTACTACAGAATGGTGTTTTAATAATTCTGACTTTGCTACAGACAAAAAGGTTTTTTTCGGGACGTTTTCTAAATCACCTAAAAATTTGATCTTTGATCATTATTTATAAAAATACATAAATGCGATTAATAACTAGATAATTTAAGTATACAACAGTGAAAAGTTTAGTAACTTAAGTCAAGCAGTTTGGCTGTACTAATAACAAACGTCTGGGTAAATATATAAGATTTATAGTGTATATCATATTAATATAGTTATACATTTGTATATTTTAGGCCAGCCCCTTTGAATATAATCTACCCTGGCGAGAAAATTTATACGCTTACTGTATAAATGGATTTATGTTGGTTCAATATAGTTGATGCAATAGAGCGTGTGTTGGAATATGTCAATAACTGTATTGCAAGCACCCCTGACCAATTAAGCTCCATACAACGACTGTGCTATTTCATAATCACTGAACTAGTTTACGAGACTATGGAATCGCTCAGTGCATTACACAGGCAAAATATATTGCACAGTAATTTGAAGCCGGGCAATATACTAATTAAACGCTATATAAGCGGCAGATTTATTAAACTAGCTGATTTTGGCCGCTCCACTGAATATCAAGGTCACTTAAGAACACACTATGGTTAGCCGCACAACCAGTGTGGGAAGTCCAGTAAACAGATATATAGCACCCGAAATTTTGAAATTTGATCGATATGGTTCTAAAGCCGATGTATTCAGTTTAGGAATGGTGGTGACGGATATATTTGATCTTGATAAACACAAGTAATATATTTTATTATATAGCAATTGTTAACATTAAAACAATTAATTGTGTTTTTATGATAACTACATTATTGCTCATTTTAATATTAATTTTTACACTATTATATTTTATTATTAAAACCAAAATATTATTGTTATTACAGAAAAATATTCAACACAAACAATCATAAGCATGTTGAATTTATTAAAATTATAAGCGAGTGCATTATTGGAACGCCAGTTGGAAGGCCTAGTATTAAACAGATATTTGAAAATCGGGAATTGTGGGCAGAATAATACAATGATGTTAAACACGATTTAATTGATATACTTGAACGTAATAATAATGGTGTCATCGATACATCCAGAGAATACAATTATAGCACACAATTCGTTCAATACTTCTTACTAACTAAATACAAAACTAGTTAAAAACGAAATGATTACGATAATTTTTAGAATTATTATTTATTGTAATCAATATTTAGCAGTAATTACATTTTAACCCACTTAATAAATTGATTTATTAAAAAACTATGATTGGCATTTTTTACTTAAAAAATGCTGAATAAAATTATCATGGCGATTAAATGTGCATTCGGTGACCTTAGTGATTAAATGTTTCACATCGGTAATACTGGTGGCCCATTGATCGCTAATCGCCAGTATCTGTTCACAAGTGGGTCTCTCATTGGCCGTACCCTTCAAACAATTGCCGATCACGTGTTCAATTGTTTTATACATATCATCCGGATTTAGTCTCCTGTAAAGAATTATAAAAGTATTATATTATTGCATAGAATTTATCATTTAATTTCTATAAAGTAACTAAATTATGGCGCTAATTATTGTACAATATTGTATTATTAGTGCAAGTCATTAATTAAATAAGCATATGACAATTAATAATATCCATGATTATCCATAATAATTACCCGATTGTGTTATTATCAAAATTGAACAAATCTTGACCAACCATTCCCAAACTGTAAATATCGGCCAAAGTATTATACCTGCGCCCACCTCTGACCTCGGGTGCCATATAACGTTCTGTGCCTTTATTCTGTGTATGTGACATGGCCTGGGGATCGTGGTAAACGGCCAGGCCAAAATCAGAAAATTTTACATACTTACCGGGATGCTTGGTATGAGGGTATATAATAATAATAATAGTTTATTAATCAAACATGTCAATTAATACAGCAAATAAATGTCGTTAAAATAGTTAATTAATTAAGAATTACAGTAAAATGATTTACAATTAGTTAAAAATGTATTAAAATTAGTTTCATTTCTAATATGTTTTGGTAATTCGTTGAACAATTCAATAGAGTATATGAAGAAATTTTTATCACAAAATCTAATTCTTGTATTTGGTTTGAGAATAATATTTCCGTTTCTTTTATTATCCGATAATTTGTACATAAGTTTCCAATTGTCTGGCATTTCATTGAAATTATGCAAACATTTAAAAACAATTTTCAATGCATTTAATTGCCGTCGAGTTTGAAGTGAAACGATGTTTAGAGAAATAAGTCTTTCGTTGTATTTTAAATGATGTGAATATTTTCGAAAACAAATAAATTTTGATATTTTTCGTTGAATTTTTTCTAAACATTGATTTTGTGTTTCATTAGGAATGTAACAAATATTGCAATATTCAGCGATTGGCAAAATGTATGTCTTATATAACAATAATAATGTATCAGAATTGGCATAACTGCACAACTTTTTAATATAAGCCAATTTTCGCAAACACTTGTTTACAACATAATCGATATATTCATTAAAATTTAATTTTTCGTCTAAAATGAGTCCCAAATGCTTATGACTTAAATGTCGAGGAATTTCTGATTCATTAATGTTATAATTCAATAAATTGTCACAATTTTTAAGCGAAATTCTCATGTGTACTGATTTTGATGAGTTAATTATCAGATTCTTGTCTTTAAACCAATTATTAACAGAATTAATATCACTTTGAAAGTCATTCACATCATTGTTGTTATAAATAGCTTTACATATCACGGAATCGTCCGCGTATTGGAACAGTTGTGACGATTGTATAACAGATGGTAAGTCTTTGACACATATGTTGAACAGATCTGGAGACCCGTTCCCTCCCTGAGGACAACCACTCGTAATGTTTTCATTGTTAGACAAAGTGTTATTAAATTTTACACATTGTTTCCTATCATATAAATAGCATTCAATAATTTTAAGACACTCATCTCTTATACCAATTTTATACAATGTTTCTAATAAAGAGCTGAAGTTTATACAATCAAATGCATTACTTAAGTCTAAAAATACAATATCAATACATAATAGTGTTTTATCGTTGAAACAATCAGTAATATAATGTATAATATCTATTAATTGGTTTTGTGTAGACATTCCAGGCCTAAATCCATATTGATTTTTGGGTATTATATTGTTTTTTCTAATAAATGCTGAAATATTGTTAAAAATTAATCTACAAAAAAGTTTTAGTAAATTTTTTTCAATTGTTATCCCTCTGTAAGAGTTAATAAATTCCTTTGGTTTTCCCTTTTTATGAATGGGTATAACAATTACTTCTTTTAATTTATCGGGAATTTTGCCTAAACTTAATATTTTATGAAATAATTTGTGGAATATTTTACTAAAAATTTCTGGACATTGTTTCAAAAGTATTGTCGGAATCTCAGAATTTAGACAACTTTTGTTATGATTTAGATTCAAGAGTTCTCTTAAGACATCTGTTTGTGTTATAGTGTATTGATTTAGTATATCATGCGATACAACACAAGTAATATTATAATCAGGATAACTAATTGGACTGTAATTATGTTTAAAATATTGTGAAAAATTATTACATATTTCTAGATCAGTTGTCAGTATATTATTATCGTTAATAAAAACATTACTATTGTTTGTGTCGTTATTTTGTTTTATATACTTATACAACGATATAAAATTACATGATTTACTGATCATATCGTTATATCTATTGGAGTGAAACTCAGTCAACAATACCTTAATTTTATTGTAATAGTCATTTATGCAAAACATATAATAGTTATCATGAGTTTTATTAAACATTTGTGAGAAATAGCGCTTATTTTTGATAACATTTTTAATATATTTTGGCATTAGTTTTGAATCAATTTTTATTATTTTATGAGAAAAACTACTATTTTTTATTTCAGTTATTTTGTTAATTATATTGTTATAAATATCATTTACATTAAAGTTATCTAATATTGAATCCCAATTAACTAACTCTAATTTGGTTTTAAATGTTTGAATACTATTTTCATTATAATCCCAAACAGTTTTAAACTTTGGTTTTTGTTTTGTTAGCGGAATATTAATTATGAATTCAATCAAATAATGATCACATGATTTTGAAATACTATTTGTTATTAAAAACTTATTTATTATACTTTTATTGTTAACTATAAGCAAATCAAGCAGTGATTTATTTGTTGCATATTTAGGGTCTGAGGGATATGTGTGTGAATTAACTAATTGCTTAAATCCTGATTCACTTAACATGTTATTAAAATATTTTGTTATTGTTTTAGTTTTTCTCATTAAATCAATATTAAAATCACCGGAAATTATGATATAATGATCAGTGAATTTAGTATAGATTTGATTAAAATAGTTATTCAATTCATTCAAAACATTCATATCAGGATTAGGTGTTATATAAATAGCTATTATAATGTATTTTTTATTACCAATAATTAACTGAATACACAATGATTCAATTAAAGTGGTAATAATTTTAATTTCTATGCTTTTAATACTATTATTAACCCCTATTATGACACCCCCTCCGTGTCTATTCCTATCATTTCTATAGATTGTATGTTTTATTGAAATCATTTTATCAGTTATACTGTTGTCTAAATATGTTTCACATCCAATAAAGATATCAATATTAAAAGTATTTAAATATACATTAAATTCATTCAATTTATTTACAAGAGATCTAAAATTTAATGAAAAACATTTAATATAATTGTTTGTTATGTCTGTGGGTATGGGTTTGGGTGAATGTATTGGCCTAAAAAACTAGTGTTTTGGGTGTTATTTTGTTGTAAATTAGCTAATATTTGTTGATTTTGTGTTAAGATATCAAACATTAGATTCTGATTATCATTCAAATTACGGTTATTATGATTAGACCTGTTGTTGATGTGATGATTGCGATTCTCATATCGTTTGGTTGAATTGTAATTCTTGTTATTAAACTTTTGGTTGTTATGGTTTCGCGCGTTATTAAAGAATATTCTGTTGTTTTGTTGATTCCTGTAGTTATTACTGTTGGAGTTGTGATAGCAATCGGCCGACAAGTGATTATTTCTTCCACATGTATAGCAAACTTTGTTTTTGTGAAAATCATTGCGATTTGTATTGTCTTTGCGATAATTTTGTCGAAAATTCTTATTCTTGTTGTTATAATGACTTTGATTTGACTTCTGTTTCAATTCAATGTCTTGTATTTTAGTAAACATTAGTTCAAGTTTTTCATCTGTCGTCAGATTAGCAAAAACTTGGGTTTGATTCTCAGTATTAAACTCATTGTTCGTTTCATTATTACTATGAGACGACTCTCCAATAGTATTGAGATTAATATTCATATCAGATATTGAAGTATTAGTGATAATATTTGTGGGCGTTTTCAGTAAATTTCCAGCACTATTATTAGACTCCACTGATTTGCCATTTAATTTGTTAAATTGTGATTTAAATAGCGATTTTAGCCGTTCAATGGATTCACTAACAGTAACTTTCTTGTCGGCTGCCATTTTTGATGAATTGCATATAACCACTATTAAATCACATTCATTATTAAATTTATTTAAAGCCATTATAATTATTGTATATTTCACTTCATTTTATGTTTCGAATTTCATGTTTAGATCATTGGTTTAAGAGTCAAATGTTAAACACATATACACATATTAAAACATTGTTCAAGTTTATATCACGGTGTATTATTGGCGGTTTGCCAGTGTGTAGTATTTTCACCGCGGTTACAATTTCCACCATTATCTCAGATGCCATATAATATCCCAATGGGTTAAACAATTGTTTCCTCTCTGACTGAAAGTATTTAAGCATTTGTTCAATTAGTGTACCCAATGATAGCCAGCATAACTCCATTTGAATGTACAAATATGGCACACGATCGTTTGGCTCGTTTTCAAATTCAACCCAATGATCATGGTATTTTACGAAACAAGCATTGTCCAATTTTGACCATAATTCTATTGATTTAATTGTTAGCTTTAGTTCGTGTTCACCTAGATAAAATGTTACGAACATTAATTAACTTATCTAACATAAAAGCGCCTGATTTTAAAACAACTAATTCAATTTTTACCATCTAATTTAACTTTTTTAACTGCGTAACGTGTAGTATCCCGATTGGACACGGTGTTTAAAATGTTACCATATCTACCCGGTGTGGTCAGGATATTGTCGAGTCTAAAGTCACGTTTGAATTTACCATTTTGAAATACTGAAAAATCCAACTCAAGCTCCATTTTGTTTTTCGCGTCGTTTACGGATTTTTCATCGCAATCGTTAGAATTGCGTTTTACAGCCAAAAAATATTCAATAAATTGATCATCATAATCATATTTAACTTTTGTATCAATGAGCATGGCGATTTCAGCTTTAACTTTATTGTATCCCGGTGCCCAAGTATACTTCTCGTCAAGTATATCCGAGCATGATGATCGATTGGCGGATAGTCCATTAGTACAATTGGTCACAATTTTATCAATGTATTTGTAGTAATTTTTGTAATCACTGTTCGATTTACTGTAAATAAAATAAAACTAGATTAATATTAATAATTACAGCCAGATCTACACATTTATTGTCCAATGCCTATCCATAGGGACATATAAATATTTTATTGTGGTAAAAGATTGCCGCAACAAATTTGTGAATTATTTAATTGTTAAAATTTATACAATTTATATAATAAGCTAAAATATACAGTTATACCCGATTTTATTGACATCAAAATTGAACAATTGCTGAGCGATTACACCAACGCTATACACATCGGTTTTAGTATCCCAAGTACTGCCCTGTTTTACTTCAGGTGCCATAAATCTGTCCCCATCACCGGATATAGACGGTACCCGAGATTGGGAGTCAACGAGTTGGAGTTGATTGCTGTCGAGACCTAAATCACCTAGCTTAATAAATTTGTCGCTACACGATTCGTGTTTGACAAGTATATTGTCTGGTGTAAGAAATCGATGAACGATGTTTAACGTATGTAAATATTGTACGGCAGATAATATCTCGGTAAATAATTCTGATGCCACGTAGTAGCCCACCGGGGGTAATAGCTCATATTTAGCAAGCCCGAAATGTGTTTGTAGTTTTTCTATGACAACTCGTAATGAGAACCAACATAGATCCATTTGCACGCATATCAGTTTAACTTGCTTATTTTTTGGATTTTTGAATTTTTCACCATTTTCAAACCAATGGTACCGGTATTGGACAAAATGATCAGGGTTGAGTTGTGCCAATAATTGAATTCCTTTCAGTGTATGTTTCAATTGATCTGGATCTAAATTAATAATATTAACACCTAGTTAAAACATTTACCATGATTTCATATTTACCAACGCATACTATTTTCTTTATAGCATAATTACTGTCGACTAATTTGTGTTGGGCTTTGTATAACCATGGTCCAAATGGTAATTTATTTCGGGTTATTAATTCCATTGATTCAAACTCGTTAACAATGACCTGGCTTATTTTTTCATTTTGCTTTATATAATCTTTTAATCGATTTTCATTATAAAAACTTTCCATGCTACTTTTATCTTGATTGTTTAACTTATCAACTGGGTACCATTGCTTTATTTTGGTCATGATACATTTACTTAATAGACTGTTATAGTCTGTCTTGTCGTCAACTTTATAACCAAGTTTATTTAATGCAAAACTACCCTCAATGACCAACTCATTA